ACGGGCCGGAGCGGGCCGGGCCGGACCGGCCGTTTGACAGTGCTAGACCCAAGAGATCTTGGATACCTTGCAGAATGTTTACTTTAACAATAATGGTGGTTGACATCTATTGTTGTCAACAAATACCTCATAATTTTTTACTTTTTCCAAATACACCAAAATTTCTAAAATGTTAAAGGGTAATCTATATATATATAATTACTGGCATGTAGCATTAAATAAAACATTTAATAAAACCTCTAAAATTTTCCCTCCATTTTCGGTTACAAAATTTGTCATTAATATTTTTTACTTCTCGCATTAATACATCTTAATGAGTTTAATCATGTATGTTTCTATTATATTATATAATAGTTATTGCTAATACCAACTAATAATAATTCATAATAAATTTAAATTACATAATTATAAACAATTATTGCAAGTTATGTATTTTAACATCAATATTATATTTTTCTTTTGTATCTCATGAAAAAATTTCTTTAAAAACAATTAGTAAATTGTTTTAATAGCATAGTCAAACAACTTAAGAAGCTTATAAACAATTATTTTAATAATAATAATAATAATAATAATAATAATAATAATAATCAAACTGTTATTACTTAATGATAATAAACAATTATTCATAATAATAAAATCGTTAATTTATTTTTCCTACTGATCAAATTTTTTAAAATGTAATATGTTCATTATCTAGAATTTTAATATTAAATTCTCAAATATTACTTACTAATATTTTATATATATCTGTGCATGTGCACAGGATATCTACTAGTTTATGAATAAAGAATGAATACACTGCTTAAATACAATTAAAAAAAAAAAGAAGTTATGAGGAGAGTTCAAAGTCGATCCTGAAAAATTGTAGGCCCTGGGCCAAAGGAATAAATAGTGCTCATATTGTTTTTATTAGAAAAAAATTATAAAGAATTTATCATATTATAGAAACAATAATGAAGATTATAGCAAAATTTATAAAATTCTATTAAAAATTGACATTGTTTTTATTAGAAAACAATCATAAACAATTTATAATGTTACATAAAAAAATAATGATGATTATAGCAAAATTATAAAATTTTATTAAAAAAAATGACAATAAGTAAAATAATAAATCATGTTAAGTCCTTGTATAAGAAAAAAGACGACAAAATATAAATAATAACTCTTTTTCACATTAACATATGTTTAATTTTATTGTAATTTCAAATAGTCAACTCTTTTGTTGCAAAAATACTAATATTACTTCTAATATATATATATATATATAATAACTAAATAAACAAAAAACTGACAATCACATTTAAATTGGATAACAATAATGATGATAACTTATATGGTTGAATTATATACACACAAGTAAAATTTTGCATATTCAAGTAAGAAGTTAAAAAATATATATATATATTTTTTCCATCAGAACGACAAAATGAGTGAAAAGAATATATATAAAAAACATATAAGTTAACTATCAATTATTATAAATTAATTTCATCATTAGAACTTCACATAAAAAACAAAAACTATATTTAGTTTTGTGAAATTAAGGGAAAAAAATAACTCATTTTAATAATTAGTTACACTAAAAAAAATCCTTTAAAGTTTTCTAATAATGGTGCCCTCAATATTTTTGGGCCCTGGGCGGCCGCCCGCTGGCCCTGCCAGGGCCGGCTCTGGGAGAGTTAATTGTCCAATCTTCTTTGTGAAAAGAAAAAAAAAAAGTTGTGAGGAGAGTAGATCACTCAACCATTTATACTTATCTAGACTGGGTCAATGGTTGATCAAAACGGTCTATGGCCTAGCTTGACGACCTCCATTGCACTTGGGAGGGGCGCCCACCTAAGGTTTTTAGTTTCTAGGAGGATAGGTTCTTGTTTCAGTAGCCTCCATTGCACTCAACCTTTTTTTTTTTTGGCCGTGTATTGCTTTCTAAAGGTTTCAAATCGTGACATATGCTTTTAGTAGTTGTTTTGTTTGTTGTGTTTTAGGCCACCGTTAGAGTAGTTCTCTTGTGTTTTGGTTGTAAAAGCTAATGAGCTCTCCAGTGTTTAGACTTTTTTGTTTACGAGATTTTCTATCGTTTGAAAAAAAAAAAAAAATTAACGGTTTTAAAGATGGTCAGCTGATGGGTTGACCACTTCCTGGTCACATTAATTATGCTATTTCATTATTTATTTATTTATTTTTTCTTCACACTTGTTAAGTGGATATATTCTACTAGTATCATTTTTTAGTGGATGTCACTTTCTTTTACCAAGAAAGAAAAGTTTTCCCACATATGATGTTTGCGGCAGACTTCTTTGGTGCTACCAACCCCAACTCAAGACTTGCACCCCAATTTAAACAAATACACATCCTATCGTGCAGAGGATTTCACACCAGTCATTACAGGATTTTCTTTTTTATGTGGACTCAGGTCTTCTTCTCTTGTTGAGACATGACCACGGGCCGGTCCGGTCTGCCGTCCCGGTCCCAGTCTGCAACCGGCCTGTAGGTTGTTGGTTCCAAGAACCAGCACCGTGGCTTTAGGGTCGTATCCGGGTCCTCCCTTTTCTTTTGTCTCGGCAGTTCGAGACCGGCCGGAACAGGGTCGGTTCCATAGGCCGGCCCTTGGGGCCGGTTAAAGGTCACCCATGAGAGGCCCGCCGGACCGGGCTGCGCTGGGTCACAACCCCATTGACTGGCCACCTCTTGAGTAACTAAATCAAACTCCAAGCATTATTATTCTTTCAAGCAATAAAGTTTGAGAAAAATACACACAAAAAACAAAAGACAAACCGACCTTATTCTCAACAAGTAAACGTTTTCCCATGTAAACACTCTTGATATTGCTTTGAAGCTCTCCATTATGGAGTTTTCACAATGGACAAAGTTGTAATCATTGCTTTGAAATTCTGAATAAAGAAGAAAGAAAAGAGACTGATGCCCTTCAATCTTGTTACCATCTCTTGTTTGAGTTGAGAAAATGGTTCATATGAACAAAACTAGGCCTCTTCTCACTTCAACCTTCCTACTCATGATCACCACCTGCCTATCATCTTCCTCCACAAATTCAATGCCAAATTCAAATTCAAGAGCTTGCCTTCCCCATACCTGCAACGGATTGAGCATACGAACCCCGTTCTGGATACCGGGCCCACAAGACCCGCGATGCGGGTCGCCCGGGTTCAACGTCACTTGCCGAGACAAGAAGCCCGTGATCAAGATCGACGGCGACGAATACATCATCAGGAACATATTCTACAAGAACGAGTCGATCCTGCTGGCCAAGGCCGACGTGTTTGACGACGAGGCAGAGTGCCCGGCCCCACGCCGCAATTTCACGGTACGCGGGAGCCCGTTTCGCTACGGGCCCGACACTTCGGATCTCTTTTTCTTCTACGACTGCACGGCTCCTTTCGACAGGCAGACGTACGCCGTCGACTGCGCGGGCAACGCCAGCCGCCACTCGTTTGCTGTGTTCCATGTCGAGCTTTTGAAGCATTGGAACTACTCTGTGGAGTCGTGCAGGGCCCCGGTTAACGCTCCCGTGGAGGACGATGATCTCCGGAAGCTGCTGGAAATGAATTACACGACCATCTTGAGAAAGGGATTCGTTCTGCAGTGGGGACACGGGGACTGCGGCAGTAGCTGTAAGGCTGTCGCTAAATTAAGTCAGTGTGATTTATGAAAAATGGTAATGTGTACTTGTATCTAACATTCTTTGCTATATTTGTGTACTGTGGCAGGCAATAGATTAGATCCCCGACTGAAGATCGGCATAGGTACTTGTATTCTGCTTTACATCATTGGAACAAATCATTGATTCCCTCCAAGTTGAAACCTTTCTTGTATGGTTTCAGGGGTTGCAGCTGCTGCATTCGGTTCAGTCCTAGTCTCCATAATCCTAGTCGTTTATCACTCGAGGCGTAGGGCCAGGTCGAGTGTACCGTCATCCCCCAGCATCAAGAAAGACCTGGAAGCTATTGGGGTCCGCATTTTCAACTACCACGAACTCGAACGCGCCACGGACCGCTTCAACCCCAAAACCGAGCTTGGAGATGGTGGCTACGGCGCCGTGTACCGAGGCAAGCTCAAGGACGGACGACTCGTGGCCGTCAAACGCCTCTACGAGAACCACAACAGACGAGCCGAGCAGTTTGTGAACGAGGTCCGCATCCTCTCCCGCCTCAAGCACACCAACCTCGTCTCCCTCTACGGTTGCACGTCGTGGCTCTCCACCGAGCTCCTCCTCGTGTACGAGTACGTCCCCAACGGCACTCTGGCCGACCACCTCCACGGGTCCCACGCAGTCCCGGGGTTTCCCCCATGGGCCGCCCGCCTGAGGATCGCTGCCGAGACGGCCGCCGCCCTATCCTACCTCCACGCGTCGGGTGTCGTTCACCGAGACGTCAAGAGCAGCAATATACTCCTGGATGGGAATTTGAGTGTTAAAGTCGCCGATTTCGGGCTGTCCCGTCTGTTCCCGGCTGGGGTTAGCCACGTGTCGACGGGCCCACAGGGAACTCCCGGTTATGTGGATCCCGAGTATGGGGTGCTGTACCGTCTCACGGAGAAGAGCGACGTCTACAGCTTTGGTGTTGTGCTGGCCGAGCTCATATCGTCGAGCCCTGCAGTGGATATCACGAGGAAACGGGAGGAGATAAATCTATCTGCTATGGCATTGGGGATGATCCAAAGGGGTGTGGTGCATGAGCTTGTCAACCCACACTTGGGTTTCGATTCAGACGGTGGAGTGCGAAGCACCGTCACTGCTGTGGCCGAGCTGGCATTTCAGTGCTTGCAGAGCACCAAGGATATGAGGCCAAGCATGGACAATATTGTGAATGTTTTACAGCAAATCCAAAACAAATATAACAGCATGAATGATATTCAGGTTCCCAGAGATGATGTTCTCTTTGTATCAGAGTGATTCAATATGCATCTCTTTTTTGGCAAAATCTGTTGGGTGTTCTGTACATTTCTTGTTACCATCGGCTGGGTTCATAATGGGTTCGTAAAAATTTATAATTTCACTAAAATATGTAATAAGATATATAACGGTTACATAGCCCGACGGAATGGTTCCGTAACGGCAGAGCATTAATGGCAAATGCTACGTTCCCGTTACGGAACAATTCCGTCGGGGTTTGTCGTTAGATCATCGTGTAACCGTTGGGGATAGATGATCTAACGGTTACAAACCCCGACGGAACTAGAGAAATGGACTCAACTAGCATTAACAGTGAAGCAAAAACACAATTGATTAGAAGAACTAGAGAAACATAATTGTTCACTTCTCTGCAAAAATCCCAATAAATAAAAGTTAAACAGCTTTCCTATATCTTTGAATCACTACATACCCAAAGAATCAAGTACACTAGCTACATGTTGTTTAACTTATGTGAAAAGATTTCGAGCATATGGAGCTGGGGCAAATAAATATATAAAAGAATGATGAGAAAATGTAAAAAAAATTGTGTTGTCAGCAGAACATATTTATCTATGCACTACAAGTGCATGATCCTGGGCGCAAACCTCAGCAGGCGATCCAATGCGTTGACGGTGAACTTCCTGGCGAACAAGTAGCAAACTTTGGTGGGCTTCCCATTGTACATGCACTCGGTTCCTGTCCTGAGTCGGTTGAGCATCTCGGGGGAGATGTCGGTTCGGATGAACTTGGTCGGGTGGGGCCCACCGTGGGACCAGTCGACCCAGGTTAGTGTCCGGTTGGCGTTCATGCCTGGGAATTCCTTTGTGATGAAGGTGGGGAGGTAGTGCTCGTCCGAGTAGCACGCGGGCTTGCACCAATCGCGGAAAAGGGAGAAGTAGAGAGTATCGGATATGACCTCAAGAGCCAGCTCTCGGTTCATCTCGAACCATTGTGAGCCCTTGCGCCACTCGCTGAGAGTGACGTGCGGCTCCATGTGGCGGTCGTATCGGCCACGGCCCACGGGGCCTTCGAGATCGTACGACTCGACAAAAGAGGTCGTGGAGCGGATGAGATAATCGTACACAGTGGTGAAGTTGAAGAGAGGGATGCAGGCCTCGGACAGCAGGACGAACCTCTGATTGGAAGAGTCGAGGAGAGCGTTTGCCAAAAGGCGGCGCTCGGCTTCCACCATATTGAACTCCCCCCACTTCACCTCCTTGC